GGTTTGAAGTACCGCTACACCAGTGTGTGATTCGTTCTATCATAGGAGGAAATAATCCATAACCTTGGGTACTAAGAGGGGATTAAATTCCTTAAGGAAACACTGTGAATTCAGTGGGCTCGAATTAATTACTGTTTCATTACGATAACTTATATTTCCCAAAATTATTATTTACAAATACAACAATATTGGCGGGACTAACATTACTGTCTATAATCACCTTGCTAAAGTAGTCTTTTCCCATTATCTATAAAAGTATTGCTAACCAATTTTTTTCTCTCGAAAAACTAACAACAGTACATAAGAGCAAACTTTAAGCTGAGTAACTAATTGTGGTACATCTTCATCCTCAGAGGTTTTAGGTTCAAGTAGAGTTGTTCTTTATTCGGCAGTGTTTTACCTCCAATATAAAATTCTTTGGTGTGTATCCAACTTTAGTCGAATCTCAATACGAATAATGATAGTAAAAAATTATGTTGACTTTCCAAAAGAATAATTGTAGAACATAAGAGTTGCTCAATTATATGTATGATGTTCTTTTTATTCTACCAACTATTATGTGTTCTTTTAATACCTGTGATCGCGTTTGAAAATTGATGGGTGGGACAAAGTAGGAAAAGAGGGAGAATATACTTTATTTACCTTCCAAAGATCCCATTTACAGTCATAGTAACTTATTATTAACCAAAATGCATAAACTGGTCACAGATTATTATGGGATTCTCCGTATAATCTGATTCGGCTGCTTTAGATGGGCCCCACACGATGTGACATTCGATTATATTTTAGGTACAAATTCGCCAAACTGTTGTAAATGTAATGAAAGCCCGAAGAAGGCAGTGAGTGTAGAGGAAGATCGAATCTGTTCTTCTTCCCAGTTCTTGCAGTTGAACAAAGTGAACAAGACCAACAACAAGAAGAATGGGGTCAATAGCGAAAAAGGGTCTGCAACAGTACTTGTTACAGCTTCAGCAACACCCTTTACGAACAAAGGTCACACCTTTTTCCTCATCTCTTGACCAGTCTTTTTCTTTTCCTTCAGTTTTTCTCTTTGATTTGTGAAGTGGGTTTGGGCTATTTTGAGGTGTTAGCTTAATTGATGATGTGGGTCTTCTTTAATTTCTTGTAAATTTTCTATCTTGGTACAAAGATCACACCTTTTTTTTTTCCTGTACTTTCTTGATGTTTTTGCTAAGTTTGCTTAGCAGAATTGGTACTGGGATATTCTTTGATTGATTGAATCTTTGGAAATACTTATGATGGCAGGCAATAACTGCGGGAGTGTTGTCAGCGATTAGTGATATAGTGGCTCAGAAGATCACTGGCATTCAGAAACTTCAAGTCAGACGTCTTCTCCTCAAAGTGGTGCGGTTTCTCTTGCTTCTCTTTGCATGGGTTTATACTTTTACTACAAAATGGAGGTCATTTTTGCAAATTGTTATGCACTCCAGTGGTTGCATTTTATCTATCTGAGCTCGTGTACGTTGGACTTTGTTAATCTGATGAAACTTTAGCATTTATGCACTCCCATGGTTACTATAACAGCCCAGCCCATTAGTCATATTGTCCGTTTTGGGCCTAGCCCCGCACGGCTTTAAAGCGCGTCACTAGAGTCTAAGGCCTGTCTACTTATTAACCCAGTTTCTCTTCCGTGTTTTGTCCATGTGGGATTCGCGTAGGGTGTCACAGTTACATTTATGTATTGGTCTCTGTTTCTTTTGATAAAAGGCCAGCTTGGTTCTGTAACACTACCTTAGACACTAGTCGCTTCTTTTTCGATGATGGTGGTGATCGGCCAGTTTACGCACATGAACTAATATTCCGGGCAGCCTGATATAACCCATAAGTACTTGTATTGAGTAAACCGGCCGGTCAAGGTTAGAGCAGACACACTGAGTGTTGTCGCTTGGAATATAGAACTTCTATGCCTCAATCATTCAGCCATAACCTTAAGCCCTAGTCTCTTTATGTCATGCCAACTGTACATAATTTTTGCCTCCAAGTGCATCAGGTACAGGAAGCTAACGCCAAGTGAACCAATTCGTCGTTAGCATGCTGTTTGGCTTAGATTGGAAGTGGTAAATTTACATGTCAACTGTCACCCAGGGGAACATGATCGGCTTTTCTCAGAATTTTCTTAATATGGCAGAATTATTGTGCTGAAGAGAGTGCATATTTCAGCAGAATTGATCTTAAATGCACTCTAGTTTACATTGGCACAGATGACATCATTTTCTCTTGAATCTTTATGTTAGGATCCCAGTGATCCATTCTCGTTTGGATAAATACTTCAGATATGCCCATCTGGTGGTTGGACGGATAACTTGATTTCAGATTCTTGTTCTTCTTCTAGACGAAAATTTTACAACTTACGGGAAAAAGTGTTTTGGTTATGAGCCGCAAAGGATGTTACAGTTATTCTTTTTTTTTGGCCCCTACTGCACAAAGGCTTCTGCATGTGAGTCTTAGAACTGTAGACTTTGTTGAGGAGAAGAGGGGTTATTTCTGGCTAATCTTATAATTTCCGCTTCGAGATTGTCAAATCCTAAAAGAGGAGCGGAATCTTACAAGTAGAACTATACATGGAATATGCTTGAGATCACTTCAATATCTTGAGTTGCTTTAAAGATTGTCATTGAGGTTTGAGAAACTGAAAACAGGGTAAGTAGTTGCCTGTACGCATATATATAAAACTTTTGCTCCTGGCTAACTTTAGTTGCAACGCGCGAGTAGAGCAATAATGGATATAGAGGATTCATACCGCAGACCTCAACTAGTTTGGGGAGTAGTTATTGGTGTAGGTTAAGTTTAGTTGCAATTGTGTGTCTAATTATCTTCAGTTTCGGGGTTGTTTCTGACAGGGCACATCAAAATCATTTTCATTTAGTATCATTTGTATCATATTCTTCTGCTTGCGTGTATAAGCTGCTATTTGGGATGTCATCATCTGCTTTGGCTGTAACTACATGCAGCTATTTGGCGTTGTCTATCTTGGACCATTTGGACATTTTCTTCACTTATTACTGGACAAAATATTCAAGGGGAAACGAGACAAGAGTACAGTTGCCAAAAAGGTATGCTAAACCCTTTCTTCTGTGGATGATTAGGATAAGCATCAGGAAACAGGATATTCTATCTTGTAAGCAGAAGTTACACATTTATCTTGTACTTTATGGATCTGATCTACCTCCTTTTTTGTCTTCAACGTGAATCTATACTAATAAAACTGCTTAACTATACACTCACGGCCTGGTAAATTGCCACATTGCCCTGCTTGAAAGTCTACTTGTTTAGTGTTTTGCCAAATAATGTTAACAGATAGAGAAAGAATTGAATAAACAATGCTGATAAATATACAAGAATGTGAACTTGCATTTTAAATTGTTTCAGGTGTTGCTGGAACAAGTTACATCGTCACCCTGGAATAACTTGCTTTTCATGGTTTACTATGGATTAGTTGTTGAAAGTGAGTTTCTATCTCGAATTGCCACTGCCTTTCAACTTTTTAACTCATAAACTATTGCATGGTATACCATCACGCAAAACTTCAACATCATGTTCTACAGCTAAATGTCCAAGTAGACAAAAATGGCCTTCCAGTCAAATTAGGATTTGTTATTTAAGGAGTCAAAGGGCCTGCAAATAGACATAATCATCAAGTTAAAGAGTTATAATTGCAAAGAAGCTTGTAGTATTAAAGGAGGAGCTCTTGAACACTCTGAAATAAGGCTTAAGAGGTTTTAACACTCATTCTGTAATGCATAAACTAGTTTAAAATGAGGAAATATATCATTTTATCTTCCATCCTATCCTAGAAACAATCGAAAACAGGTGATGAATGTTCCATAAAAGCAAACCATGAGTTTCTCGTCTCTTTACAAATTTCTTCTCCTTATAACAGTCTGGCTCATTTAAGTTTGTGAACCTTCCATTAGTTAGAGGTATGCTTATATACACACAGAATAAAGGTTTTGGCTGAACATTATCTTGTATTATTCATAGGAAGACCCTGGATCCAGGTGAAATCTAATATCAAGAGGGAATATCCAAAAGTGCAGTATACAGCTTGGACGGTTTGTCAAATTCGCCCTCTCCCAAGTCCAATTTGGTTCTAATTCTGTTCTTTAGTGAATGATGACTGTAGGTATTCTTTTTAAATGTGCAGTTTTGGCCAGTTGTTGGGTGGGTAAATCACCAGTATGTTCCACTGCAATTCAGAGTGATCTTTCACAGTATTATCGCATGTTGCTGGTATGCACCATTTCCCTGCTTGTTGCTGTTTATGCTACAGTCAAGTATGTTCCGATCTTTATGATTTCAATCACAGTATTATTAATGCTCTCTGTTTTTATCAATTTTCAGGGGAATATTTTTGAATCTACGTGCAAGGTCGATGGTTTTAAAAAAGGCTTGAAATCCTCAGAGTTGATATATGAACATGGCAACATCTCTTAGTGTAGTTCAAAGATATTGAAAATGGTTGCTTATTTTGTTCTGATCTTCACTTTTTTCTTTCTTTCTATTCTTTTTAAAAGCAAGACATCTTCATTAAACAAAATGGCTTGTTTGTGATAGAGCAAGTGCATACTCAGAATGTTTCTCACATGGCAATGTGAAAAGTTGTCAGTTGTAACGCACTTCAAATGTGACTCAAGAAAGCAAAGATTGTGGCAAAAGATTACAGTATAATACGTTTCACAATTTAACATTATTTATGTAGCCATACTATCTTGGCTTTGAGGTAGAACTTTTAATACAGGTAGTAAAAGGGTCCACACGCAAGTAGTAGCGCTCAGAACTGAACACGTGGTATACAACTTTCAAGAAAGTAAAAGCTGATCAGCTTTAGGATTTCAACAGTGGCTGGCTATATGAACGTAAAAGGCATTAATCTTAATTTGAAACTTTTTTCATCTTTGAAATAATAAATAAAGTCCGTCTCCTGAGTTGAAAAATATGTCATATACTCCTTGTTGTCTTCTAAAGCAGGAGTATTTTAGAATTATATGAACTTTTACAACTACAATATCATATGATTCCAAAAATCTCGGAAAATTGACAGTCCACGTGATTTTTAAAATGATTTATCTTAGAATCAACGTAGAGAATTATAATTTAATAAGCCTTTCAAATGCTATTACTTCTGGCCGATAAATGTAGAGACTGCAATTAATTATTCATGAAACTAATTCAGTATGGCTAATTGGTGTTAATTGTGTAAATACTCACGCACTCAATCTAGTTTCTTTCGAATTTCTTACAAAATATTTTTTTTTTTAATTTTGGTATCCCGTAAAATTCTTCTCATCAATCTGCGACGCAGATCGAGCTAATAATTTGATCATGCAAACTGAAAAAAGAGAAAAAGAAAAAGAAAACTAGATATGTTTTTTTTATAACAGTTTGGATCTTGTTTTCCGAGAACCGGTGTCTAATGTATGTGTTTTAATTATATTATAGAAAAATTAACCCAAATAGTCGTCTATCCAATTGCTTAAACTAAAAATAGCCGATGGATGTATAATATATGCATAATTTATATATTATATATGTATAATTATGTATATTCAATGTGTAATCTATGTATATGGCTAGAAAAGTAAACAATAAATATGGCCGGAATATAAACGAAAAAATAATCGTACATTTTTTCATTATTTCTTGCTTGTAATTGACTGGTTAATGACGTAAATCCACTTATAAATTTATACAAAATAATCATTTTTACTTTCAAGAAATGTGGTTAACTCTTAATTAAATTCAATAATTGAAAGAATGTAATTTAAGCAAGTAGTATCATACATGAGATATATAATTGAAACACAGGATTTGAGTTGTTAGGGTCGTTAGTATAGTTTTGGCTGTTTCAAATTTCAAACAATCAAACCCCGTAAAAATTTTCCTTATAAGGAAAGTCAATACGAGTAGACGACAAGAAAAAAAAAAGGTCAATAAGAGTAAGTGCAATCAGGCAAAAGGCTAAGCCAAAATAAGAATTAGTCTTGGCCATAAGGCAACATAAGAAATTGTCTTTGCCATGTACCCATTCAATTCAAACTTCGAATAACTTACTATTGTTGCCATTCTTTTTTCCAGTCAAATCTTACATCCATTTTCAATTCTCTCTCTCACTTTATATATATATAATATATATATATATATATATGTCCAATGTCTTCTTACCATAATCACAATCAATTAGCAGGTTTTCTCCTCTTTTTTCCAATCATAAATCACCATTTAACATCCATTGACGAACAAAAAAATGGCATTAATCCTCCAATCTTCAAGTTTCTTGAGTTCTTGCAGTTCTTCTGTTCCCTCAACATCATCTTGTAGTTGCAGAAGAGGATTGATTAGAGCGAATATTAATATTCCAAATAATCAGACAATTAAAATCTCCCTTCCCAGGTTTCAAAGAAGAGCGAGATTAGTGCAGGAACAAGAGCTGATTAGTGGAATTTCAACCATAAGCACCAACAACCCAATTGAGAAACAATTTAGCCCATCAAGAATTGGTCCTGATCCGCTGGTTATCAAGAAGCTTTACGCAATCAAGGAGGCAGTTGCAGATAGAGTAGAAATGCATAGGAATATTGGGGAACAGAGAAGCCAGTGGAACAATATGCTTTTGACATCCATTAACGGGATAACTTTAGCTGCTGCTACAATGACTGGAATTGCAGTCAGCAGTAGTGATCCTGTTTTGGGACTGAAGATGTCTTCTACTTTCTTGTATTTGGCTGCCACAGGCATGTTGGTGATCATGAACAAGATCCAACCATCCCAGCTCGCTGAAGAACAAAGAAACGCGACAAGGCTGTTTCAAGATCTGTATAACCAAATCGAAACAACTTTATCAATTGGTCATCCTTCCGCTATTGATGTGAAAAAGGCTATGGACAGAGTATTGGCTCTTGACAAAGCCTACCCACTCCCTCTTCTTGGCGTAATGCTTGAAAAATTTCCTACTCGTATTGAACCTGCTGTTTGGTGGCCTCAACAACGTCGAAGACAGCCCAAAAGAGTCAGTGACGACGATAAGTATAATGGCTGGAACGGGAAATTGGAGGAGGAAATGAAAGAAATAATGGGAGTATTGGGCAGAAAAGACCAAGAAGAATATATTAGGCTGGGGAAAAAGGCCTTGAAATTGAACAAGTTTTTAGCCATCTCTGGTCCTTTACTCACAGGCTTAGCAGCGATTGGCTCCGCATTTGCAGATTCTTCTCCTTCTCATGGATCTTGGGCAGCTATGCTTGGAATTGTTGGTGGCGCTTTGGCAAGTGTAGTTAACACAGTAGAGCATGGTGGACAAGTTGGAATGGTATTCGAAATGTATCGAAGTAACGCTAGTTTCTTCAGGTATATGCAAGAATCTATTGACTCCAACTTGACAGAAACAGACATGGAGAGAAGAGAAAATGGTGAAGTGTTTGAAATGAAGATGGCTTTGAAGTTAGGTAGGAGCTTATCTGACCTAAGAGATCTTGCTGCTGCTGCTTCATCGAAGGGAGAGCAAATTGAGTTCGGAAGCAAGCTCTTCTAAAATTCTGACAATTCATAGTGTAATGCATAGACAAAATCAAGTACATATCATTGTCTATAATTAAGAGTAGGGCTAACTCATTCTTTCAGATTCAAATGTTGCTTAATTATATTGCTTATAACAGTTTCTCAGGCCATCTTGCTAGCTGCAAATGGCTTGATTTGTTCTTTTTTCTTCATTCTACGAGGAATAAATATTCATCTCAGTAGTTCAGTTCGTTCCTTGACTTCAACCGTTATGCTTTGACAAATTCACTTAACCATGGCTACCCGGCGAATTCAGAAAATTCAATAAGGATGTTCAAAATTCTTTGCTAGTGGGCTATGCAAGGGTGTTCAAAGTCTATTTTTTATCAATAACAAGTAATATCTTACCCTATACACAGTAATCAGTATAATTTTTCGCGCAAGGGTGTTCAGTTGACCACTCTTGGACACACATAGCTTCGCCCCTGGCCCGCACACATATGTATCGATAGGAACAGTTTAGTACTATGCCGTGCCATGTTATCTTAAAACGCGCAAGTGAACTAAATTAGAAAACAACATGGGATTGTGTTATCTGTTGGATCGAGCTGAGATTTGGTCTGGAGTTCCTAAGATCCAGTTCTTCACTGGAGATTGTGTTTGGAAATCTGTATCAATCTGCAACGTTGGAGCGGTGTAAACACTGTAAAAGCTCTTTCTCTCTATCTATTAGAACGTTTGGTTACATCAGAATATATGTACAAGGAAAATCTTGTAGAGCAAGTCTCCTAAGTCTACAAGGAAACTCTTGGAGATCAAGTCTCCTAATTCTACAGAAATATCAATTCTATACATGGAATCCTTAGCAATATCAATTACCCTTTACACTCCCCCTTAAGTTGAGCTGGGGTGAAACCACTGCCAACTTGCTCTTTAACAAGAGAAACCTGGCCTTTGACAGTGACTTGGTAAGCACATCGGCTACTTGATCATGGGAGCTCACATACTTGACAGACAAAGATTTGGCGGCCACCTTTTCCTGGACAATTCCACATGATTGGTACGAGAATGGAAAATGAGATTTGCAGTTAAGTAGGTGGCACTAAGATTATCACACCAAAGAGTAGGAATGGAGGAAGAGAAGCAACCGATCTCTCCAAGAAGAAGCTCTACCCATGTGATTTCCGATGTAGCAGAAGCTAGTGCTCTATATTCCGCCTCAGTACTTGATCGTGATACAGCTCTTTGCTTTGGAGAAGCCTATGAAATTAGGTGTGAACCAAGATAAATAGCAAAGTCAGTTGTGGACTTACGATCATCAATATCACCTCCCCAATCCGAATCACTATATCCGGGGCGGAGGTTCGGCCGAACCCAGTCGCTTTGGTCCAATTCATGTATTTGTCTTAAAAAATTCATTGAATATATACAAATTATTAATTTAGAACCTAGTAACTTAAAAGAATTAGAACCCTGAACCCATAAACTTTAAATTCTGACTCCGTCTCTCACTATATCCATGGAGTAATGTGGATATGCATTTGCAAAAAACAATCCATGATAGGCAGTAACTTTGACGTAGCGAAGAGTACGTTTTACCGCAATCCAGTGAGAATCCATGGGACAGTGCATGAACTGTGAGACTTTGTTCACTGCATATGTTATGTCAGGTCTATCGAATGTCAAATATTGCAATGCCCCAACAACACTTCGATATAAAGCCTGGTCATGAAATTGAGAGCCACCAGCTAATGATAGCTTTACTGAAGACGAAGCTGGTGTGGAGACCGAGCTACATGATTCCATTTGAACACGATTGAGGAGGTCCATTACATACTTGCCTTGTGACAAATGCAACCCATCAGTTGTCCAGGTACGTAGCTTCAATGCCTAAGAAGTAGGATAGCCAAATCATGACCATTTGAGATTTTTTAGCTGAAAATAAAAATAAAAATTAACATGTCAAAACTTGTCCCAAAATTTATGTCCAAATTCATTTTTAATTTCCTAACAAACTTTACCCAAATTAACTTTTTCAAAAAGTATTTGGGAATGTATGTCCTAAGAGTTATTCAATTATATACATGTTCTTTTAATTCTACATCGACTATCTGTCGTTTTTTAAATACATGTGAGGCAGCATATACTTTACCTTTCAAAGATCCCATTTTACA